ATGGAGTCGCGGCCGCTGCGGCCGCCGCTCCCGCGGCACCACGGGAAGGGCGCCGCGCCCCGCCTTCCGCAGCCACCGCCCGCACGTCCATCACCTGCCGCCTCCCGCGGCCATTGGCTATCGGGCCGCGAGGTCCCGCCTCCTCGCGCCAGCATAGCTTCTCATTGGTCAGCTATGAACAGGGCTCTGCCCCGTCCGCCATTTATTTCGGGCGCGTTCCACGGTGGTCCCGTAATGGCGCCCCCGGCGGCCGCTGTGCCGCGACTGCTCCGGGCCGCGCCCGCCCTTCCCCGCCTCCAGCTCGGCCCTGCCCTGCCGGGTGTGAATGATCCCTGTGGCCCGGCCCGGTCCTGCCCTGCCGGGCGTGAGTGAGCCTCCCGGCCCGGCCCGGCTTTCCCAGTGTCTGCCCCCGGCCCGGCCCGCGCCGCTCGGCCCTTGTGGGCGGCATTAGCGCCATCACGGAGTTTAGGGAGCAGGGCATCCCTGTGGCCCATCGCAGAGAACTATTACAATCATCATGGGCGAAAAAGCCCTTTAACGTCACCCAGCGCTGACGCTGTGACCCCTAGAGCACCCAGCGCCACCCCAGACACTTCTGCACAGCTCAGGGATGGTGATTCCACCACTGCCCTGGGCAGCCTCTTCCGCTGCCTGACCGCCTGAGCAAGTGAAAACATTTTTCTGCTACCAAATCCGAATCTCCTCTGTCTCAGTTCAAGGACATTTCCTGTGATCCTCTCACTGCAGGCACACCGCCACCTCAACTAGGGTTCAAAAAATCTTTTCTGGTTAAACTCCTGATAGATTTTTGTAACATTTGGGGGATGCACAGGGTTTGTAGGGAGCATTAGAGCCTTTCAGAGGAAGAGATGTGGTCCTTCAGCTCCTTAGTGTCTCTGCAATATCACATCCATCAGGACTAATACAAGCTCATGGGGATAAATGCTGTGTTTAAAATAGAACTTCAAACAGCATTTGTCTTCCATGTCTCTTAATTGTCACAAGATTTTTGGGATCGATTTTGATTCCAAAAAATAAATATAGTTGCTATAATTCTCAATATAATGTTTATAATTATATCTAACTATATATATTTAATATAAAATATTGAAGTAAAGAATTAAAACTGTGAATGCACAATGTATTCTTGTCAGAATTTTTCTTTTGAGAATTTTTTTAAATAGTGAAACTTGTCAGTTCCTAACAATTTTTAAGAAGTTTATGCAGTTGGAATGATGAAGTTTGTGTGTGTCTGGTGTCCTGCCTCACTTCAAAATTAGTAATTTTTATGCCAGATTCAGGAAGGAACATGAGCCTTGGCGGTGGTCATGAGAGCAATGAACAGAATAAACAATGACCCAGCTACTGACTGGATAAGGCAGATGTTTTGCATGTTGAACAAACTAAATCATGATGCCTTAACTGCTAAAATGCAGGTTTTAATCTTGCGGAGGTAAAACTTTTTCAAGTAAATTCACCTGGCTGCTGCAGTGTGTGTTACCTGTGATGCCGAGTGTATTTTGCCTCTTTTTCTGCATGCTGCAGGGAGAGGAGCTAAGAGAAGCTGCGGTGGCTGCTGCACTTCCCCCGGGGCTCACGAGATGGGGTGGGAGCAGCCGAGCGAGCCCGGCCGGGGAGCGCTCGGAGCACTGCGGTACCACCCACGTTCGCTCCCACACCGCTCGGAACCCTCGCTGCCTCACAGGCACAACTGACTAGGAGTAATCATCACGGAGTATTTGCCAGGAGTCCTGCTCGGAACAGGACAGATGAGTCTCCTTTTGGTCATAATTTTGGAATGAACTTCTGTATCTTAATGTTATTTATTTTTTTTATTATAATAATTTTGATATGTAAGGATTTTGTGAGGTATTGATCAACAGCTGGGATTTCCAAAAAATATATATTTTGGAATGGACTTAGTAGGGAGTTAGCACATATAGCATAGAAAGTGTGCAGATTAATAAAATGAAAAGAGATAGAGAAAAATTCATAGCAAGTTTGTTTTCCCTATGGTCTTTATGGATTTGGGATGACTGTCTATTTTCTTGAGTACAGATATTTCAAGCTCAAATTTAAATCTCTCCAGTGTATCTTCAATTAGACTATTCCATAGCAGGCCAACAGGTTCCTCCATCCCTCAAAGAAATTATCTATTACAAAGGAAAAAATAAGTAAAAAAATATTATGGGGGATGCAGGAACACTTAATTTCTCTGCTAATTCAGTGTAATGTAGAAAAACACTTGGCTGTGAGTAAGGCTTGAGTAGTTATCAATACAGTATGATTTGGGTACTGCTACTAGCCAGGGATATAGAAACCACTTAAGTCATTCTTCATCTGTTTTTAAATACATCAGGTGTTGTACAGCAGCTCAGAAATTACACTGGATGGATTAATTTCTGACTGAAAGAAAGCCAGGTAACTGGACAGGTGTAATTATGAACAGCTGGGTGAGGTTGCCTGTGCCCACACACACTGATTGCTTTTGGGGATAACAAGACCTGCTTGTTGTGTCAGTCATGCCCCAAAACCCAGCTGACAGCACACAGCACACACTCAGTGTCAGTGCAGCAGGGCTGGTGCTGCCCGCAACAGTAGGAATCACTAATGTGAGTTAAATTCTTGACTTGATATTGGTATTCCAGGGAGAACCAAGAAATGTCTCACTTGTCCAATGTCATATAACTCATCTCTTGTGAATAAAATGGATTGGATGCAGCTACCTGGCAGAACATGCTCTCCTCACTGGGAGGGCACCCCTTGACATCCATTCCCACAAAATCCTGCCCCATCCCTGAGGTCACAACAGGCTCTGAGGTTACAGAAGGGCTGAAGTTGCAGCAGGCCATGAGGTCACAGCAGGCTCTGAGGTCACAGAGGTCCCAGAGCCCCATGGATGCACAGCATCACACAGACTGAGCAGTCAGTCCTTGACCACAACTGTTGCGGCAGCTGCAGCGGCGGCAGCAGCAGTGCTGACATTGGGACAGCGGTGTCAGGACAGTGGTGACAGCAAGAGCTGGAGGACTGGCAGAGGGCAAGGCACCATGGCCTTTCCTCTGCGCCTCTTCCTCCTGCTCCTCCTGGCAGTGGCCCTGCCTGACAGGGCTGCCCAGGCTGCTCCATGGCGAGCACAGGGAGCAGGTGAGCAGGCGGCCTGGCTTCCCTTTCCTGGGACAGCACTTCCTTCTCCCTGGGAAGCGTTGGGAATGGTTTTCCCCAGGGCTTTAGGGAGGGTTTCCTCTGTGGAGGGAGAGAGTCCCCAGGGGCCCTGGGCTGGTCCTGCTGCCCCTTCAGGGATGTTGCACAGGGCCTGCAAAGAGGGTGGAGAGTGACCAGGATCCAGCCCAGAGCTCCCCAGGCCCCTCTGCAGCTTTGACCATGTCCATTGACATCTGGTTCCCACAGCCTTACCCAAACCCCTTGCAGTGCCCAGTTCCCTAAAGTACAAGGGGATCACAGCACACCATGGACATGGTTCTGATCTGTGCTTCCTTCTAGATTGGAATGCTAGAAAAGGTTTTCCAGCACCTTGGCTGGAAGAGAGTTTGGATCCAGTGGGACCTCCCTCAGGTAAGATATCTATGTTCTTCCATAGATTAGTGATTGGCAACCTGGCAGGAACCAGGTGACAGAAGCTTCTGTGGCTGTTGAGCTACAGGTGTGTCTGCAGAGAAGACTTCTCTAGCTCTTGGGCTGGATGCTGCAGACAAGCCTGGCTCCCATCACAGGGGTAAGTGGTGTGTCCCTGCTGACCCCACAGCCTGAGCACTGGTTTTGTGGGATCCATTCCTGGGAAATGGAAATATTTTCCATTAAGGTCCTCCAGCAGGAAAGACTCAAGCTAAAGGAGAAGACAAATCTCTGGAGCCCTCTGAACTTCTGGACCAGATGCTGCGTGAACTGGAGAGACAGCGTGGTGGGTGCATTTCCCTCATCCTTCTCTTGAGACTCAGCACCCGGGGGCTTTCTCTGCACATCTGGACACACCGTGCCCAACACAGCAGGAAGGGATCCATGGCAGCCTTGCTGCCCTGCTGCTGCTTTCACAGCCTGCAGGGCTGTCTCCCAGCCTGGCCTGGCTGCAGCTTCTCCGCAGCCTCTGCAGGAAGGCATTTGGCATCAGCAGACAGGGAGCCCAAACTGCACCATGGGCTATGCACACCCTGAGATCCCCTGCAATTTCCCCATCTTGGGATAGATCTAATAGGCTGGTTGTTTGGATGAGAAAGGGCCCTAGGGAGAGACGCCCAAAGCCCATCTAATTTCCTGAAGCCTACCCATGACTTTGACGAATATTGCTCCCTGAAGATGCCCCCTCCCTGATGGGAAACAGCTCCATCTGATCCAGCTGTCCGTTTCCCATTCTCTAGAAATGAAACGAGAGCCTGTGCAGCAGGAAACATTTCCTGAAGGAAGCAGTGATTCTGTGCCAGACTCTGCTGCAGGAAGGGAGGCCATGCCAGGCACAGTCCCAGGAGGTAATTGCTGTGCCTCTGGGCCTGAGCCCTGCTGAGGCTTGAGCTGCCATCTCTGCTGCTTCGCAGTGCAGGCACAGCCTGGACAAAACTGGCATGGCCGCACTGTATTAGGAACGGCGAGAAGTACAACACTGACTCTCTTAGCGACATTGTCCACCAGAGCAAAGTTAATTTTTCATAATCTTTTATACACATATTAGAGAAGGTCCGAGAGGTCAGACTCTCATTGGTCATTAAAGGTACACATCACCATCATTGGTTAAGTGGAACACCACCCCTTGACTAAACAACACCTGCAAATTTTTCTCCTTTACCAAGGACTATATGAGTTCCTTCTTATGCTTTCCCAGGCCAAAGTGAGAAGCCTGTGTGACTTGGTTTCACACAGGCTCTGTTCTCTGCTTGCTTTTTGCATTTAGTATCCACACTGGCACAGCCCAGAGGAATTATTCCCAGCAGGCTCAGGGCACTTGGCTACTGAGCAGTCCTGCTGGGGTCCCTCCATGGGAGACATGTCCCAAAACCTGGCAGTGGCTGCAAAGGGGTGCCCATGGTGGGGAATGGGCAGAGGGGGAGGGCAAGGCTCCACTGCATCCTGAGAGGGCCTGGCTCTGTCCCCTTGAGCTGCAGGAGCTGTCCCAGCAGAGGGAGGGCAGGAGGGAGAAAGGGATATTTGTGACACTGCCTGCTGCCGTTTTCCCCAGGGCTTTAGGGAGGGTTTCCTCTGTGGGAGGGAAAAGAGTCCTCATGAACCCTGGGCTGCCCCAGTTTCCTCTCCAGGGATGTTGCACAGGGCACGGCAAGAGGATGGAGAGTGACCAGGAGCCAGTCCAGAGCTCCCCAGGCCCCTCTGCAGCTTTGGCCTTGTCCATTGACATCTGGCTTCCATGGCCTTACCCAAACCCCTTGCAGTGCCCAGTTCCCTAAAGCAGAATGGAATCCCAGCACACCATGGACATGGTTCTGATCTGTGCTTCCTTCTAGATTGGGATCAGGACATGGATTATCTCGAAGCCCTGGCACTTAACAATTTGAAGCTCTTGGAGGATGCTGAAGGCAAGTTCTAAGTGTGTTGCTGTAGGACACAAAATGATTCACACAGCCACGGTTCACTGTATGATAGGGAAAAAGAAGGCTTTTATTTTTGTGATTCCAGTATTTATAGATTCTTGACAACAACCAGGGATTGGATAGTTAGGTTACCACCTTCCCAATCACACTGGTAGTAAGAAACGTCCATCAAAAGACATTTCTCCGAAAGAATGTAGAAACGTCTATGTTTATAGTTACTTTCCTGGGAAAGTAGCTAGAAACTGTGAAAAGAAGATCAGAAGGTTTAATACTCAGGGTGACATCAATGTGCTTTTCCTGACATAATAATCAGCGTCAAGGTGGCAAGAGCTGTCTCATGTGCCGTTTTAGTTACCGTCATTAGAGGGTTAAATGATTCTGGAAACCTCACCCTGCTCCCTTCTGGAGCCCTGAGAGATCTCACAGGATCGCTGTCAGTGGGAGGAAGGAGCATTTAGCTGTTAACCTTCTTCCCATGTGCAATGCCAGTGTCTCCTTCCATGTGCTCTGTGCAGCCATGGAGAGGAGCAGAGAGGGAAGGGGCTGGGCCCAGGGCTGTGCCTTGCATGTCTCTTTTGCTGGCCCCAGGGAACCTGAACATCTCCTACAGAGCCACAGGAGCTGTTCTGTCCTACCTTTCTTTGCAGCTGTATCTGTTAATGAAAGTGATCTGGCTAACCATCCCATGTCCAGGACTGAGCCTCTGGGATCCAGGAGCTATCCTCTGGGAGATGGTGAGTGTAGGTCACGGCTTTTCCCTCTGGGAGAGCTGCCAGCTCAGAGCCAAAAGGTCAGCCCCAAGAAACAGGACTCATGCACCAACATCCCTCCTACTTCAGCTGCTCCCAGAGCTGGCCCTGAGTGCCCAGAGGCCCAAGGCACAGGAGCAGCTCTGAGTGGGAGTCCTGCTGTGAGCCCAGGGCCACAGCCAGCCCTGGGTCCCAAAGGGGCAGGGCCTGCACTGGCTCCTGACAGGGCCTGGCTCTGTCCCCTTGGGCTGGGGGAGCTGTCACAGAGCAGGGAGGGTCAGGGGTGGCAGTGGCTGCTCAGGGATGGCTTTGGCCTGAGTCCCTGGAAGGAGCCACTGCCCAAGCGGCTGCGCTGTCCCTGGGCTCTGCTCCCGGCCTTCTGGGCTCTGTTGGGTGGCACAGCCTGTGCCAAGGGGCAGCAAGGTGCCTGCAGGCCCCAGCTCTGGGGCAAACAGAGAATGTCCAGGCCATACCCAGCATGCTGCCAGCTCAGCAGTGGAGCACAGCATGAGCTCTCACTGACCATTGCTGTCACAGATGGAGCCAGCACCACAACACGTGTTCCTGATTCCCAGAAGGACATTGAAACAGGTTTCTGTCAGGGAACACTCTGTTGGCTGGAGATAACGGCCATGGTGGCTGGTGGAGAGCTTATCATCATGTTGTGCTGCTTTGGTATCTGCTATGCCTGCAAGAGAAAACGGTGAGTGTTTTGTTCATCTTTCCCTCAAACAGCTTCTTTTGAAAGTCTATTGCAGACAGGAAACATTCCCAGTGAGGCTGCTGTGGACTTGTGGGTAGTCAGTGGCTGCCCAAATAACTCTAAATCTGCTGAGAGTTCTGCTGCTGCCCAGGCCTTTCTTTGGCCTCTTCACTGCGGAGCCTTGTCCTGGGGAGCCCGCTCGGGCTGCAGCCCATGCTGGCTGCCACTGAGGCTGCCTGGTCAAGAGCAGCCCCAGGAGCAGCAGGCAGAGGCAAAGCAAGGCAGGGAGGAAGAAAAGAGGGGAAGAGATTGCCCTTGAAAGGCATACACACTCTGGGGCCTGCTCCTGGCCAGGGACCCTGTCCAGAGCCATCCCCTGCTCTCTGGGGCCTTGAGGGGCAGCTCTCCAGCTGGGCCAAGCTGTGCCAGCAGCTGCAGCCGTGCTGGGGAGCCTTGGCCGCTCTGGGCCCTGCTGTGCAGGAGGGTCCCTGTGTGCCAGCAGCAGCTGGGGGCCTCAGTCACCTCTTCCCTCAACAGGCATCTCCTTGAAGAAAAGCTGAAAGCTGGTGGCTGGTCCCAAGACCTCTACAGCCAGAAGAGCTACAGCAGCAGCTCTGACTCTGACGAGTTAATATTTGCACCTTCAAGCCTTGTGATGCTTTGAGAGGACAGGCCCAGCCCTCCATCCAAGCCAAAATTCCCCAGGAAAGGAATTGGAAGCCTTCAACTGAACCATGACTGAGAGCTGCCAAAATCACGTCTTCTGTTCCAATAAAGAGATGGAGCTGTTAGCCCAGTGTCAGGCTGGTAGCACCAGCAAAGCCCACACAGCACCAGCCCCAGCTGAGCTCCATGTCCAGGAGCTGCCGGGGCTGACCACAGTGTGGGCAGGCAGGAGCCAGGCAGGGGCTGCTGTGACCAGCAGTGGGGCCCCGAGGGGCTGGGGGAGCCCATGATGAGCCTCCCTGGGCTGAGGACACATTTCCTTCAGTGACATCACCTGGGCCTGCACCTCCTCCACTGGAGTGCCCAGGAAAAGAGGGAACCATCAAGACCATCTCCAGGGACACAGCCTGACCAGTAATGTCAGCAGGAAAAACAAAATTCCTCCCCAGTTGACGCTGCCGTTGGCCACACTGGAGCTCCAGGCTAGCTCTACGGTGCCACTCCGGCACAGGCAGTTGCCTGGAGTGGGGAACTGCAGGGGATAGGCGATCCCACTGCAGAACCTTCAGAGCACCGAATCCTGCCGGGCTCTGCCAAATCAGGCATCATGGGTGGTGGCAAGAGGAAGGAGGAGACTCACTCGGCTGAACTTCCCAGGAACAGGTTTATTCAGGAGAGGGGATGAGCACAAGGGTCTGGGCTGGGAGAAATCAGGACAGAAGAGAGCCCAGAGCACCTCTGTGCACGGGGTTTTATCTCAGGGGCGAGCGCAGTCCAGGGTCCAATGGGAGCTCATGGAGGGAGGGGTAAGGGAAGGAGGTTACAATGTCAGGGACCAATGGGGATACAAAGAAGGCGGGAACATAACATAACAACCAATAACATGTTGAGGAAGGGATGATATACATGGAAGGAGCTGGAAGGAGACGTGGGGTTTACGATGATGGATGGGGAGATGGGGCAGGGTAAGGGTGATTAACAGGGAACATTCAGGAAAACTGGGAGGGGTTTACATAACAGGCAAATGGACCAGCCAAAGCAGTAAATGGGGGAGAACCAGGAACATACCAAACAGACAAAACACTAACAATTTTAACAGAACTGAATAAACATACTGCAACACCCAGTTAACACACACTTGATAGGACCTAACTGGTGGGCCATCACCAATCCTGCAGGGTGCTGCACAGGCTCTGCTGCTCTGGGCAAGGGGCAGAAGGGAAGGGAAGGGCCATGTAGCTGTGGGCCCCAATAGGGTGGCGAACAGCACTGGAGGCACAAGAACCCAGCTGCAACTACACTTGATTTCCAGGTCAAAACACTCTGTGTAGCTGGGCTGGGCTTCCCTGTAAGGCACGTGGGGGCTTTGGATTCCCCCATAAATTGCACGGGTGGCTGTGGTCGCTTTGGCATAAATACGACCTCCTGCTCCTGTTTCCAAGCCTTTATTAAAGAGGAAAGGGCCTAGAGATGGAGGCTCAGGGTGTGCACCGCCTCCGCTGTTCCAAATGGTCAACATCCTGGAGGAGGATCACACAGACCTGTTGTCAAAATAATATAATTTTAATATATGCACACGTGAGAGTCCTTCTGGGGAATGAGGAAGTTTGTTCTGGGGAGCAGCGGCTAGATTACCCAATGAAATGGAAGGGAACAAGGGGGGGTACAAATGACGAATGAGTAGAAAAAAACTTTTAACAATGAACCTTTGGAGCTGACAACACCAAGCACCTTAACCAGGGACATAAACTGGGACTTGGACAGGAACATGGGTAAACAAACATATAATTTGAACATCGGGTTTTTTTGTAACAATCCTCCCTTTTAATTTGACCAGGCATCAGCTTGCATCAATTCGCTGTTTTGGGCTCCTGCTAGTATAATTTCCTTAGTCTCTGATATTGATTGCATACCTTTTTAGCCTCTTTCCGCTCTGAACTCTCTAACACTACGATTTTAGTTTTTCCCTTCTCTTGGGTTATTTCTAGTGTGTTGGGGATCATGCTGCTAGACTGTATCATTGAAGTAACCATTCTGATTGAACACGGGATGACACAGGGAAGAAATAACAATCCTGCTAGTCCTGCTATGCCAATGAATGCCACTTTTTTCCACCAGCCCTTAAAGGACCAAAAACTATCCCACAAATCAGTATTCAGAATAGGTGTCCATTCTTGGTTCCCTACATAAGAAATTTTCCTGATCTCTTTGGAAATGTTCCAGATTACTTCGCTTTTATCGTCTAATTCTAAGCAACATTCAGAGGTGTTAAACTTCCCACAGATCCCCCCCTTCATCAGCAAGGAGGTAATCTACTGCCAGTCAGAGTTGGTGTACCACTGTTCAGGTCTGGGAGAGTTGATTGCTTATATGATCAAGGGCCACGGCTTTTTTATTTGTTTTGTTTTGTTTTGTTTGATGTTATTTCCTTTACAGCTTGGAGCCTGATTATTCTGTTTAACATGTATATTGGGGTCCTACACCTCCAGGACCCATCCTGGGCCCAGATCACTGGTACATAAGTTATTATTATTTCACCTGTCATCCAGACCCTTCCCTTCCAATTCTGGGTCCCTCCTGTGTTTATTACGCTCCTTCTCTTCCTTTTTATGGGTCTTCTTAGGTTGTCATATACCGGTACTCCAAGCTCTGAGCCAGCTTATTTAGGGAGAAGAAAGCTGGCTTTATCACCCCAGTCATGCAGGTACCTGACCAATCTCCCTGTAGATGTGTATAAGCTGTGTCCCTGCAAATCCAGAAGAAATTTTCTGGCGCTTCCCAAAAACCTTTCCTGTCCTCTTAGGGGTGCTCCCAATATTTTGATAGGCTTCTGATTCCCCAAAAGGGATTGATCCCTTTGTCCGCAAATTCATAGAGGTTGTACCCTTCAAGATAAATACACCCTTTTTCTCTTCTCCCTAAGGACCAATACTGGTTGGGTTCTTGGGGAACCCACCTAGTTCCTAAATTTTTCATTGTATCTTTTGCACACCATCTGTCCCACTGGGATTCTGTGTCTTTTCCCAGTTCATAGTATGCATTCCTCCCCAATTCCCTTAGCCTTTAATTCCCATTTTTCTCTTCTCCTATACCCTGGTGTTCTTTAACCTTCCCCAATTTGTTTTATGCTCAAAATTTCCCGAGGTTTTAAACTGATTCCCTCCCAGGACCAAGTATCAGACATTTTAGTACTCCCACATACCCAACAGTCAGTTATATTTAATTCTTTGCTGGTCTTCTCAAATCAATGCACAAATTCTTCCCACTTAAATTTTCCCATTCTTCATTTCCCACCCTCATGTCTACTCTTTTTTCCTTTACATCGGGTTTGCCTTTTACTGGTTCACTCATTTCAAAGCAGAGCCAGGTATCCCTCATGGGGCAATCTCCCAGAAGACGTTCTCTAAAAATGGCCGTATTTCTAGTGATCCAATAGGTTTTTCCATTTTCTTGGCATTCTTCCAATTGTGATTTGTTGTAACAAGAAGGACTCAAATTTGTGTGAACCCTTACCAAGGACCCTAGATGCTCCCCATCATATAGGGGATGGTAACATTTTATGCAAGAGTCCATCCCCATGGCATTGGTGAGGTACATTACTATCACTAGACCAGCCATGAGCCTTGTGGTGATCTTTATAGGCTCTCTCTGGTCCGTGACTCCCAAGAGTCCAGTAGGAACCATATTTGGTCTCCCCTAGTCTTGCCTCTTGGGGTTTTCCTTACGCCCTTTTGGGGTCTGGGTCTAAGGTTTTTAACTTTATTTCTGTCCTCCTCTTTATGGTTGTTTTTAGTCTTGGGAAAAGCTTCCTGGTGAGGGATATAGTCTTGGCTATGTGATCTAGGAAACTGAAGCCTTATTCAGGGGTTTCTTTTACTTTTTCAACTGATAATGGTGGTAGTTGCAATTTAACCTTTTTAGGGGTAGGTGCATTTACAAATAACTAGAAAACACTTAACATTAGTTCACAAGAACTGGAGAAACACTTAAATACGTATGTTGCAACCAAGAGAACACCTAATGATATATAGAACTGTTGTAACTCTGGTTTCCCATCAGAGTCTCTAGTCTTTGGGTTTCCTTTTTAAGGTTATCTTCAAGTCCTTGGTGTTGGGGACAACAATCCAGTTAGAGGAATCTTTTTCAGAGTTTATTTCTTCACCTGGTGGTGCCACTGGTCCTTTGACAGCCATCACGTGCATCCACCCCTTCTCCTGGGTTCTCACAGCCGTGTGTGTGGTGAGTTGAAACTGATAGGGCCCTTCAAACTTTGGAGTGAGAGGAGAGTTAGCCCAGGATTTTATCAACACCCAATCCCCAGGGTTAATATGTCTCACTCTGAGAGAGGGGCTTGGGGAAAGTATCCCTTTTTTCTGAAGTTCTCTACAGTTTTAATGACAGTTTCCAAATACCTCCTTGATGTTTCTTCCCCTTCCGTATATTGAGCAGTACTGTAAGGGGTAATTAGGAACAGGAGTCCGAATCGCATTTCGTAGGGGGATACCCCTAGATCTGCTTGAGGTCAAGTTCTTACTTATAGCAGAGCCAAAGAGAGACATTTTAGCCAATCTAGTTTAGTCTCCAGAGTTAGCTTGGTTAAAGTTGTTTTAATGGTTTTATTCATCCATTCTACCAAACCAGAGCTCTGGGGATGCCATGAGGTGTGTAATCTCCACTTTATCCCTAGAGCTTCGGTGGTTTCCTGGAGGATGCGGGCAGTGACGTGGGGGCCTTGGTCCGAGCTGATGTTATTGATTAACCCATACCTGGGGACAATATGTTCCAGAAGTATTTTGACCACTCTTCTTGCTGTTTCATTTCAAGTAGGAAAAACCTCTAGTCAACGAGTTAGGTGATCTACGATCACTAGCGGGTGTTTATATCCCTGTGCTAGAGGCATTTCTGTAAAATCAATTTGCACATTTTGGAAGGGTCTTTCAGCTGGTTCTCTTCCCTCTGGTATGGGTTTCCTCATCACTTGCTGGTTTACCCTTTGACACGTTACACAGCCCTGAGTGATGGCTTTTGCTGTATTATAAACCCCTATGCAGAGGAGTTCCCTTAAGAAGTGATCACATAGACCTTGCATCCCCCATTGTGTTAATTTGTGTATTTCATCCAGTAC